AGACAGACAGACAGACAGACATAGAGACAGAGAAAGACAGGGAGGCAGAGACAAGGAGAGACAGAGAGAGAGACAGAAACAGAGAGAGAGAGAGAAAAAAGAGAGAGAGAGAGAGACAGACAGACAGACACAGACAGACATAGAGACAGAAAAAGACAGGGAGACAGAGACAGTCAGAGAGAGAGAGAGAGAGAGAGAGAGAGAGAGAGAGAATTTGGGAGATGACAGTTGGGGTACAAAAGCAAATCCTCAGCTCCCTGGGAGAGTCGGGATAGCAGTTATGCACCTCAAAGGCTTTCTGTGGGAGAACCCTAAGCCCTGCACTGGGGACCTTGAATCTCCAAGGAGCCTGGCATCGGAAGCCCAGGGTCTGAGGCAAGGAGGGCCACTACAGTTTAGGGTCATGAATTTTGGTCACCAGACTCTGAGAATGCAGTCTCTGAGGACCAAAAGTCTATCTTTGGCTTCAGTAGCAAGGACCTCAGCCCTTAAGCCTGAGGATTTGGGACAATTTAGAACCATGAGTTCAGGACCCCAGGGACCTTGCCCTGGCAGTGGCTCAGGTCACATGGTGTCACCTGATGTCCTTCTATCAAAGGACCTGGTGGGCAAAATTCTTGACCTGTTAATCCCAAAATATGAAACTAAGGGGTCACCGCACTCTAGGACTTTTGTCTCAACAGACTGATAAATACACGAGGGCCATATACCAGGGCAAGGTACTTAGCATCTTAGAAGACAGCACCTCAGGGGTGAGGGCCTCCCTTGTCCTTTAACGGCTTGGATGTCTGCAGATTCACTGTTTTAGACCTGAGACCACTTTTAGTCTAAAGGCCTAACTTCCTTGTATTCATGGGTATTCAGAGTGGATGGGCTTGGAGCTTTGCCTGGGTCTCTCAAGCCAAGTCCTCTATGAGCAAGGTCTGTAGTGGTCAGCCTCGTGATGCTGGGACGAGGTGCCTGACACACACAGTCTGAAGTGGAAAGGTTTAGGCTCATGGCTTCAGTCCAGTACCAGCAGACTCCAAGGAAGAAATGGCCCTGGCTGAGGGGCTGGGTGGGGGAGGCTGCTGGCCAGTCAGGAACCAACCCAACAAATGCACCCCCTCACCATTTTCTCCAGATGGACCTCACCTCTTGATGGCACCTTCAGCTAGGAACTCATCACTGGATTAATCCACTGATGAAATTAACCCTCTTGTGATCCAGTGACCTTCCAGAAGCCCCATATCTGAGCACACGACCCTTTGGGGTGACATTTTCTCTTATAGTTATTGTTGTTGTTTTAAGGCAGAGTCTCACTATGCAATTCAGGCTGGCTTTGAGCTCCCTTTGTAGCCCAGGCTGGCCTTGAACTTGCAGCGATCCATCTGCCTCAGCCTCCTGAGTGCTGGAATTCCAGGTATGTGCCGCAATGCCTGGAGAGGGGCATATTTTTGATCCAAATCATATCAGGCCCTAAACTTGTGAGACATCACTCCCTGGACAGCTGATCATTACAAAACTGGGTGTCTAAGGTCTCCAGCCTTCTCCTCTGTGGGTTGAGATTGTTGGTCCTATATGGAGTCCTTGGGTATAGAGATCTCGAGAGGGGATGGGGGAGACTGAGAGTGAGGTTGAGGGGCAGCGGGATCTTGAGTTGGGAAGTTCTGGATGTGTAGAGGGTGTGGGGTTCCAAGGGCTTCTCTGGAAGGCATTCTTTTCAAGAGACTCAAATGTGGAGGCATCTCAGTCTAAGTCCTTAGAACTCACCTCCTCCTTCGAGGGTCCCCAGATCTCCTCAGAGTTGTGCTCTGAAGTCTCAGTGAGTTGGATTCAGGACAACAAACGAGTGTCGCCAGGACCTTTTGTTCTATGTGACACTCGGCTCCCTCATCCCCCTCTGTGCCCTTCTGATCTCTTCAGGCCATGAGCTACTCCCCCGCTGGTGGCCCCAGGCCTTCTTCCCTTTCCCCATCCCGCCTTCTTAGCCAGTTTCCTCATTTCCTGTCCAGAACTCTCTTCTCCGGATGGGAGCCAAGCTGACCTTCTCTGTGAACTCGTCTTTTCTCTCCAGGAGGTGCAGAAGGGGCTCCAAGACCGGGGCCAGAAACAGACCCAGCAGCTCTTTTTCCTGAACGTGGTCCAGGCTGTGTCCCAGGAGGGGCCCTGTGTGAATGCTGCATCTGACTTGAGGAAGGATGGGGTGGCTGCAGGCTACTGAGGAGACAGCGTGGCCCAGAGCCAGGATTCAGCCCTGCCTTGAGCCCCAAATCCCACTGGAAAAGGGGGCCAACAGCTCCAGCCCGATCTGAACTCCTTGCTGAGAATGAAGGAGGCAGAGTCCAGAATGCCCAGAGGATGATGGGAAGGACCTGAGCCTCATCCCTGACCCCCTCCCCACAGCCTCTCGTGTGTGGCCCTGCTCCGGCTTCTTCCCTGGCCTCCTGCCCACCTTCCCAATCTGTGTTCACCAGTGGAAGATTAAAGAGGAGCCAACTACAGCCTGGCTTGGTGGTTCAGGGGAGGGGAGGGGACCCTCAGAGAGTGCAGGAGTAATGCTCCTGCAGCCCTCCACAAAGCACCAACACGGAGTTGGGGAACCAAAGCTCAGAGGGAGGCTGGCCTCACCCAGGCCACTCCTAGACAGAGGCAAGCACCCTGCCGCTCCACCACTGTTTTGTTCTGGCTAGAGTGATTTTGGAGGCTCAGCAGTGTGTCTGGCCCTGGCCCTGCTCACTGGTAGAAAGGTGGGGATATGGCCTGGGGTGCCGTGCCCCGACTCCTCCTTGGCTGAGGCCCTTCTCTGGGTCTTAGTCTCTGTGCCAGGAAAAGGTTGGACAGAGCAAGACCCGAGACCCCTCACCCCAGCCCCCAGAGTTCAGATGCTTGAGACCAGGGTTTCTGATGCTTGGCAATATTGACATTTGGGGTGAACTGATTCTTCATGGTAGGAGTGGCTGTCCCCACACTGTGGGGTGTTGTACTGAGATAGTGCATGTCACCCCTGGTG